CACACAATCTCTTTATTGTGATGCAGCACACAAACCTGACCAAATAGTTCTTAAGTTCACCACAATAATTTATCACTAACAGCTCTGCAGACCTGCAAAGAAGGACATTCAGTTTAGTGAAAATTACTAATTTATTATCAGACACCAGTCATATATCAATGTCAGAAAAATAACGATATCACTGACAGGTTCAAAAAATTTTAAATCACAACACAAAAAAATAAATTAATGTCAATTAATGTTAATCATCTTCTTACCACTGTGAGCTATGTTTATGCTCAATAAAAACCAATCCAGCTATGCAGTCACTGAGATCTGAAGGAATAGTTCCCACAGTCTAGATTGAAATGATAAAAACAGCATCTATAGTTAGTGCCTCAAACAAGCTCTACTTAAAAGCATCCATTTATTTTAATTAAAATCATGTCTTGACATTTTGTAACTTACCTGAGAAATTGTAAAGAGTAGCTCTCCAGCAAGGTCAAACACTACTATGTCACCAGAGCTAGTTGAAGAAAATTAAATAGAAATTAAAATATTGATGATGTTCTAACAGCTTTGCAAACATGTAAGTAAGCAAACTGGTCAACCCAATACATTACAAACCTGTAAGAACAAGCCAACATAGAACAGTCCTGACTCCAAGCCAACTTCCTCCATTGTGGAGAGTTGTCATCATCAACTGAAACCAAAAGATCAAGGAAAAATGCATTTACCAAGTGTTTCCAGAGAGTAACATCTGCTGGATTAAACAGCACAACCCAAGTTAATGACTGGTTTAACAACTCAATACTCTTGCATGCTGTAATTCAAAAGACAGGTAGCATTGACATAATATCTAGTCAAAAAGTATGGAAAAGCTTCGACAAAAGGGATCCTTAACATGTTTAACATTTCCTGAATTCTCCATCAATAAAGGGCTGCTGTATGTACATCTGATGGCAAGCTTTTAGAAATACAATCATTCTTTGTAAAGGAAGGCATTCATTCAAAGTTTATAATTTTCCTATCACAAGATTAGAGTTAGTTATGACAATGTTCCATGTCACGGTTTGTACTCAAGATTATTAACATATGTGTTTGTTACTGGCACTAATTATCTCTTAGCATAGAAGAATAATGTCAGATGTGCTTGCAACAAAATGGTCAAGTCAAAATGGTGCACCTACCAACACATTTTGCAACCACTGATTCAAAGTCGTCTATGAATGATCTACATAAGAAAACAATAAATTGGTAAATGTGGTAGATGACATATCAAACAGATAAGAAACTACTGTAGGTAAAAAAATTGCTTTCTTCTAACACTCAAGAATGCTTTTTACCACATTCCAAACACCTCAAAGTTTGTGACAAATACTCCACTGAACATTATATTTTCAACTCTCTTCTCTGTGTTTGGAAATTGTGTGGTTCCAGAAAATATCCATACCCTCCCCCCCATGGAGGATCACAGAAATTCCAAGGGGTAGGGGAGTTTGAAATAGGTAAATTTCCGAAGGGGAGGGGAGCTACTCAAAGAGTTTTCTTTCCAGTCGGTGTGATATGTGATTGAATGAATACTATCGTGCTTTCCCAATCGATTCAGGTAACCAAACCGACAGAAATGTTCCATCCATTGAAATAAACGTTAGATTCTTTGTCATATATTTTCCATTTTTCTTCCGACATTGTACAACCGACGGCAATCCTGAGCATCGTGTTTGTTGGACATCAAGCTGAACAAAATGCTGATGAAAAGGTGCAGCAATATATGAACAATGAAGTTGATTTTATACTTTGAAGATCATGCTGTATTTAGCTTAAACGCAGCTCAGATGCTTTTTCCAGCACTAATCATACCATCAATTAAATGAGATTCGTACTTTGATTATTTCGTTTGATACTTGCACAAAATTATTCCCTGCTTTGGTCTTGCCGTAACTAGGTTATCACATGTTTTCATTGTTATCCATGTAGTAAATAGTTTGCTAAGTGAGCAAAGTCAATTCAAAGCCATTTGTCTTGAACTATATATAACCGTGGACAGCGAGGGTTATTGGAGTAGTAGCCGGGATTTCATGTCATTTATAGAACAACTGAACAATGCGTGTTTCACGTATGAAATGTATGACAAATTAAATAAATGGCACACAATGCATGCTGAAGCGATGACGTTTAAAAATTGTTCCTAGAAGATTGGAACATAAGCAGACAAACTGATTCTTAAACTAAACTAAACTTTAACCCTTTACTCCCTAACAGTGCCATTTGGCACACAACGTCATAACTTTGTAAATATTTGAGAGATTTCTATGAATTTTTGCTGCAAAAATTTCCTTGTAAAGATCTGCTCATTGAAGGCACAAAATTGTGACCTCCTCCTATCTAAGGCATGGTTGACCACCCCCATTATTTTCCAATTTCTTTTTTGAGATGTGCATGGAATGCAAGACTTGTTTCACATCAAGCTATGTACTAAGACCTGCTAAATAAGCTATAGTTCAGGGGCATACCTATGATATTTGAGAACTGGTACATGTTGGAAGCTTTTCAGTTTCACATTTTAAAACAATTTCTCTCAAAATGACTACCTCCTTCACAGACAAAGCATATGACTTAATTGATGTATTCCTTTGGTGAAAGAAGAAATAAAAGGCATTTGGGAAACAGCTGTTTGGAAAAAATGTTGCGTGACGGCTTTACTGCGTGGGTAAAGTAATTCAATATGTTATTTTGACCATGCATAAATTAAAACTTTGACTGGCTCATTTGAAAGAGCTTTATGTATGTTCCGAGATTCTTGTATGAAACTTATTTTAATTTAATGAAGAAAAAGTCAGCTGCCATGCCATCTGGGAGTGAAGCGCTTCTAAGTCAGTTGTTTATTGGTTTAAACACTGGTTCAAACATTTTAACATGACATGAAGGAACACGCCGCATCTGCAGTCTACCGTGAAAAAGTACGTCTTCGTCTACAATGTAACTATAAACAGCTGCGGCTAAATTTTGGCACAATTAATGAGTTGTCTTGTTATTTATGGATACCAAATTTCCGAGGGGTAGGGGGGCCCAAGTAGAAAAAATCATGGAAATTCCAGAGCGTTGACAACTTGAGTGACAGAAAGTGACATTCATCACTTTGCGGCTCAGCCAAAATGGCAGCAATTTCAAGAGAATTTTGTGGAAAATGTTTTGATTTTGATCGTCTGTCTGCTTCTTGTCTTGGAGGATTGGAGAGACAGAGTGAAGCTGTTGCAGTCTCCCTATTATTTCCGCCAGCCGTGCCCTCCACCACCCCTACCCACGGGCATCTTGTACTCTCTCCAGTTTCGCTTGCATCAAGAGATCAAGATGGCAGCCCGTCGAGCTCAACGATCGACATCTACGATCTCACGGAAAAATAGGGGACTGTGAACAGTCTACACATTTGGTAAAAAAAACAGTTTCTCTTATTTGATATATTGCATAAATATCAACAAATTTAATTTGACTTCTACAGTATTAAATCACTAAATTAAGCTAGTAAATGCATTGAAAACATACATTTAAGGGACAAAACTAGTGTCTGACCAAATCAGTAAGCTCGTATTTGAGCTCTAGGTAGCAAATAGTTGTAAGCATTTGATTTTCAGGCAAATAGGCCCTTTGCAGCTGGGGTCACGTGACCAAATTTTTCCTAAAAAATTTTTGTATTATGGGCTATAACCAAAAGAATGCCAGAAATGGAAAGAGCGCATCAAAAATACCAAAATGGCCAAGTTTGAGGCCCCAGGAAAAAACAAGTAAGTTTATACCATAGTTTGAATTTTCGGAAAATTTAGAGGATTNGACATGCTTTTTCCATTTCTGGCATTCGTTAAGTTATAACCCATAATTTTATGAAAAGTAGGTCACGTGATGGCTTAACTGCAAAGGGCCTATTCTAACTCTAGCACACTTTTTTCTGTTATCTCCATCATGTTTCCCAATGAAAATGAAAGCACTGACCATGGAAATAAGGCTATTGAAGAATACTTTTACGCATAATAATTGATGATATTACCTTATTTCAATAAAACTATCTTGAAGCACTGCAAGGAGCTTTCCATCACTAAAGAAAAAAACAATTGCATGTGTATATGTTGTGGTTTAAATCTGACTTAGGTTCATTTTATTTCCTTGATTTGAGATCTATTCTTCAGTTTACAGCTTGGTTACAACAAAGGGACCACATTTTAAGAGGTAACCAAAGTCCCAAAATTTATTTATCTCTAATGATCAATTAACATGCAGCAAAATTGTAATTGGTCATTTATTGAACTTTGTGCTGTACAGTTCAGGGAGTAAACATGCCCATATATTCAACTTGACCTTGAACTACAAGCTCAGCTGATTTTAATATCGTTCGCCCAATTAATCGACCCTGAACTGCACTCTCAGTTCAATTGAAACTTTTATGATTTTTATCTACACAAAGTACCTGGACAAGGCAAACTGCCAACTGAGTGAACTGTTGATGATTTTATACAGCTGTGCTGGGAGACCAAGAATTTGATTGCTGCCACTGAAATTGAATACATGTAACAATAAATTATTATTATAAAATTATACACCATTATTTAATGTACTAAATTATTTTTTACAAAATTACTTTTACCCCTCAGTTTTCAAAACCTACTAATGATAAATAAACACATTTTAGACTCTCATAAGGAAAATCTTTTTAACTGAAAACTTTAAAACTGGTCGCAAGGGAGTTTTTCGTTTCCAAACGACCTTTCTCGCATTCCAACAAACAATAGCGCCGAGTCGAGGTCAGGGTGGACAAAAATACAGCAAATGTATGAAAATGTCCACCCCAACCTCACTCTGATGTTATTGTTCAAATGCACTGAAGCAGAATGCGGGAAAGGTCTATTGATGTTAATTCAATATTTTATCTAAATTAATTTAAAGATCACCAAGTGGGGTCAAACATTGTAAAAATTGGTGCCACATTTAATTACCTAATAGTATACTGAATTCCCCTCAGCAACCACCAAAAGGAATCTACAACAAGAAAAAGAAAATAAATAATAGGTAACATGGAATGTAACAAACCTATATCAAAATTAGCACATGAATGAATAGCCTGTACATTCATTTCTGCATTGTACCAATAATAATTATTGTTCAATCAATACAGTGTGACACAAAACTCTGGGGCTGAATACTTCGTACATGTACCTATTCAACACCAAACTTACTTGCCAGATGAGCACTACTAAAAAAAAAATGCATATCAATGCATCTAAGTATGCATCATCAAAACTTATTACTGTTACTAATTCAGAAATAAAGAACAGTCTTGGTTATCCATATAAATTATAGATACAGTATGTCTGTATCATACGAGTAGGTAAAGTAAGTTGTCAACTCCCTGGGTCCTGTTGCACTTTATAGGTACAGGAAAGAGATTAGAAAAGTTTGGGTCCCTTAGGGTTGAAGTGAACTTCTTAAAATAAAAGATGTCAATTGTATCCTTTGCCATTCTCCATTGCCTAAGTTATTATTTGGGTAAGATATTAATAATTTAAAAAAAATAATAATAAAATACTTTGTGCAACTGTCAAAAACTTCTTTGGCAGAGATCCCCTCAGCTGACCAATATCAAATCCTGTCTTGTTCTAGAAGAAAACACCAGATACATTTAAAGTTAATCTTTGATCCCATGCTGACCCTCATCTAATTAATGTTGTGTTATTTTCATATGTTAGTGATAGCCTTCTAGTTGAAGAATATTTCTAACAAAATCATGAGGTTAAATATCTTATCCAGGCTATTATGTCTCTTATTACACTAATTTCACTTACTACTATTGCAAAACTTCTTAGCAACAACTCAAATTTCATCTAATTAATGTTGTGTTATTTTCATATGTTAGTGATAGCCTTCTATTTGAAGAATATTTCTAAATATGTTATCCAGGCTATTATGTCACTCATTACACTTATTTCACCTACTAGTATTGCAAAACGTCTTAGCAACATCTCAATTTGGCAAGATTCCTGTATAATCCCATGCTTATCAAACTGTAGCTAGTTTTGCTTTATTTGTGATTTTTGTCTGTGTGCAAAACATAGTATAAAAGAAATATCCTCAACTGAGCATGGGGCTGTACAGAAATCATGCCCTCAAATAATCCCTGTCCCAGCTTTATCTTTCTGATGTGCTCGTGACTCTTATGAAATATTATATGATAAGACCCTTAAATTTACAGGACATAAAATTTTAGATTTCCCTGCCAAAATATTAGCTTTATTAAGCCTACACTTTTACTAACATTTAGGCATACATTACTTGCAAAAAATTTCAGACATTTTATTTCAGACAATAAGGGCACTAAGACTCGCGGAGCTTTGGAACCACTTAAAAGTTTTATTCAGAAGGAGATGTTTTGGTTGCTTAAAAGTTGGGATGCTTAAAAATTTTGGAGAGTTTTATTTTCAAGTCCGAAATTAAAATCATCTAAATATTTTTGCAAGTAATGTAGCAGACTGCTGATTGTAACTGTATGTATTGGAATGTCAAACCCCCCAATGTTGACAGTGATTTGACCTCATTGTTTCATGCCTAATAATTCATAGCAATTCACAGTCAAAAGGTCAGTGGTAGTTCATCTCCCCCACCCCCGTCCCCTTCTATTCCTCATCATCCCATTCGTCCCGCATCCTACCTACCCTCCCCCCCTCACCCAACCCAGAATTTTAATGTATTGAAACAAGGTCTCCAAGGTAATACACTAAATGGTTGAAAGATTTTCAGTTGATCGAGAGTTTCTCAACAATCTGGTTAAGCGTATATAAGCTTATCTGTTTAAGAAATCTCATAATTTTATATCATTTGAACGAAACCAACGCCACGTAGTAACTTTTGCATGTTACACCGGCGATAAAGAAACAGAGGATTCCTTGAAATAACGGAAAGTAAATTCTAAATACCTTTCAAGTAACACAAATAAATACTTACCAAGATTTCTCCCCCGAGGGACCACTCTGCACGTATAAACACGTCGTACAAAATGTGGTCCTCCGTGACCGCTGCAGCCATGATGGAATTCTCCAATTGAAGGCGAAGAGACTAAGAACTAGCATTTCATTGGCTGAAGTAGATCACGTGAGATGCCACCGTAAGAAAACCGCCATCTTTGAATTGAGTTGCGTGTTCCTTCCGAAACAAGAAGTAAATTGCATCTCGTGTGAAGACAAACAAAAGTTTCAACAATTTAACGATCAAGCTCTCAATGGCGACAGAAACAGCGTTCAGACCTCGCGTGGATCAAGAAAATGCTTCAGCCCTGGATATCAAGGGTGGAAATGTATCAGGTATAAAGTTAAGCTTACTAACTCTAGTTTGCACAAAGGCTTACATGTCACCATTTTATGAACGATTGAAAAGCGACCTTTCTATTCACACCTAAAAGCTGGGAACCAGAGTATACTTTGCGACTTAAATACACAAATATCGGTACACCGATGGAAAGGTGACTCTGCAGACACATGTATGAAAATCTAACGACAGTTTTAAAGCACAAAGACTTGAACGGATTTTAGCAAAGGGATTTTAAGCTTAAAACAGAAGCAAAATTCTCATTGGAAGTGGCATTCATTGCTATTGAGGACTTCAATGAAAATTCTTCCAATGAGCCAGTTTTGAACTTTCTTAATGTCTTTAGGTGCTATAATCAAATGGTTTTAGGTAGAGATCAACTAATATATTCTCAGCAATAGAGCAAGAATTAAATTAGTGAAAATCTTACTTTGAGAATCTAGCCAATCAAATCATCTGTCTTCAGAGCCACCTTTGCCTTGTGAAAAGGCTTTACTGGCCAAGAGGGCCAGGTGGCTTAACAGAAGAGAATGGTGCTGTTAAATCTTTTCAGTCCAACAATAAATTAAAGTGAGTTTACTAACTACATGTGTAGCTTGCAAAAAAAAAAATTCCTGAAAGATTGAAAAGGGACCTCTACATGTTGATGTATAGTCACTTCATGCTATAGAAACTGTGATAAGGTCCAGGCTGATGGGCCACCTGGCTCGTATGCAGACTTTACCTTTACTTTTTTTTTTCATGTTGATGTATATTACACTGATAATGAATATTAAAAGAATAAAACTACGACGTTTCAAAGTCATCTTGACTCCATTATCAAGCAGAGGTGTTAGCTGTAGTTTCGAGATTAAATACAAATAAAGGTGATAGAGTACATTAGAATAATAAAACAGTAATGAAAACGAAACACTTATTATTCTAATGTAAATAACTTTGAAATGTCGTAGTTTTATTCCTTTAATATTCATTATCAAATATATTTCGAAATGTTCTCTTATAAGGATGTATATTACAGTGTTATAAAACCTAAAAACTACATGTAGGAATGTTGTATGTCTTTAATATCCAAATATTGGTACACAGGGAGAAGTTTTGGTGCTGCAAAATCTTTCCAGTCAGACAATGCTCCTTTAACAACTCCACGACGTGCTCTTGGAGATGTAGGGAACACCATCAAACCATCCACTACGAAAGCCAGGAAGGGACTTGCATTAAAACCCAACAAGCTAATGGGCAAGAAATCTACAACCACAAAGATTTTCCAAGATCGTGCAGGAACCCCAGCAACTAAAGGACTGCCACTCTTACAACAAATAAGCTCTGCAGGTCTTAAGCAAAGTAGCAAAAAGAAGCAGGCAATTCATGTAAAGACTACAGAGAAACAAAGAGTGAAAGCCGAACAAGACCAGTGTCAAAAAGAAACAATGCTTCCGTTTACTGATAAAGGTATGAACAAAGGTGTAATATTTATAAAATAGAAAAACTTAGTGTGGTATACAAAAGTACATGTACAATTTCAGTTAGGGAGACCCAGTTCATTGTCCAGGCTTGTACACTCAGGGACTTTTGAGTTCTTTTAACTTGCTTGCATCCAGCCACATGCACATGTATGTGTATGTGGAATATTGCATACTAGACAAAGGAAAATAAAGAAATCAAACTGATGCACAATCACACGATACAAATTAAATATAAATATGCAGGTTTTCCTTGTCACACAAGCACAAAGAAAGGTCTTCAAAGATCTGACAAGGATTTTTTTCTACAGGTCCT